TCTTAGAGTGTCAGGTTTTCTATTTGCTCAATTCCCTCCTTGAATTCACTTAACTTTGCCATAAATCCAGTGCCTGTGGAAGGTGTCAGGCTACAAACACGTGGTCTTTCATGTGCTGCACAGGTCAAAGCTACATAGTGGCAGCATAAATTTCCACATACTTCCCTGCCAAAATTACTTTGCTCGTTTACGGAAAGAGAGGCCATGAATTCCTCTCATGTTAGAGTAACTCCACAGAACTCACTGAAGATAAACCAAGACTGAGTTAGTGGACAGTCGCGTGGTACGGAGCTTGTAAACCCTAGAGGCAACTGAAAGGATAACTCAATCTCAGCCTCCCTGACAAGACCCTCAGTGCTTTTAACCATCTTCCTCTCTGGTCGCTGTCTGGTTGAACACATTTCCCAAGGCTATCTGTGATTAGAGTGAATGGACCGCCTAAAGAAACAAGATGTCAGTTTATTACAATTTCACAATGTGGCTATATTCACATGGAGCTGCTTTCGCAGGAGCAACTTTCCTGACCAGCAGATGTTTGTCAACAATTTCCCTACTAAATTGGGTCCAACTACCAGTGCCCCTTACTTCCAGCTGGCTGTTGAGCTAGTTCTCATTTATCACTGTTTTTTTTTTTTTTTTCTTGCTTTCTTTCTTTCTTTCCTTTCTCCTATTTGTACTAATTCATCAGATTTACATCGGCCACATTGTACCGCTGGGTGCTGCTGATGCTGACGGCCGCCTGAGATCGGGTGATGAACTGATCTGTGTGGATGGGACGCCTGTTGTCGGGAAATCGCACCAGCTTGTCGTCCAGCTTATGCAACAGGCAGCCAAACAAGGTCATGTCAATCTGACCGTCAGGCGCAAAGTGGTTTACACAGGTAGGCTGCAGTGTCTCTCTGCAGGGGTAAATTTTCTTGCCAGACTCCATCTGTTCAGCAAACAGTTTAAAGAACAAAAGCTCCTCCTTGTAATACTGGGAGAACTCAGGGGATACAGTGTTATTCTTCCTCTTTTGGCTATTTTTAGTCTTTTTTGTTCTTGATCAAATCAGTTTCAAATATTTTGTTTCTAGTCAAGACTCTCAATCTCCGTTGGCTTCTCCAGTCTTCTTGAAGGTTTCTGATAAAACGGGGAACTGTTCAGTTGCAACATATCAGTTTTAGGTGGACTCATGCAGCAGCAGACACTGTGTCTGACTGCCTGTGTCTTCTGTTTTCTTCCCAAAATAACTGTGCTGCCTGATAGCCACCCTTAAACTGGGAGTGAGGGAAAAGAGGCTGAAGAGTCTCCAGGAGGGGAGGCAAGGGCAGAGAGCGAGTGAGGGCATTGGTGTGTGATGGCTAATGTCCCAGGCACAGGAGAAGCTTCAACTGAGGTTGTACCATGTAGTCAACTAACTGCAGGATGCAAAACTCTAAGTGTCATTGGTTCTGGTAGTGCAGGGTGTGCGTGTTTGCTGTAAGAGAGAGGTTTCTGTGTGCTGCGTTATGCTAGGTGTTGTGCACACACCGCACAAGTGTATGGTCTAAATGGACAAAAAAACAGCTGGCAGAAAGACAGAGATGCAGAGAGAAGAGACACTGCCTGGTGGCACCCAGATTAGTGACACAAAAAAGTCCTGATAACAAAGGAAATGAAGACACGAGCATGAGCTTTCTAAATGACATGTGACCTTATGCATAATATTGGAGAGTAACACTGGGATGCTGCCTTTTCTTGTGAGTCCCTTTAGGGAGCTCGAGTGTGGGATTCAGTTTAGCTCACTTGTTCAAAAGAAGGGGCATTATACAGCTTTTCAAGTTTAGGCATCAGCAGAAAAATAGGCAGTGATGTACTTTAATCTTAAAGAGCACCAATATAACATTCAGGTTGAAAATTAGACCCACAGTAGAAGTTAGGACTAGAACAGTACCTCTAAAATAGCTCTGTATGTTTATCCAGGGCTGAGCTTCTTCTGCACAATATTAAATAAATGTTCACTTCTCATTTCTTTCCTTCTTCCCATTGTGGATGCTGGGTTATGTCTCTCCTCTAATAGCCTCTCTCTCATTCCTTACAAAGAGCTGCCAGTGTGAGAGAAGCTTTAGGAGATGAGCTTTGGGAGGAAGGGGAAGGGCAGCTGAATATTGGTATTGTTTTTGTGTGTAGATTTTCTGTCCAGTTTAACAGCCTCCAGGCTGGAAATTACCATAAAATATTTAGATTCATGAGACATCTCGATAAAAACCCTTGATACTTCATTCAGGGGCTTGTTACTCCAGACTGAGCTATTTCTGAATCATTTCAAATGTGAACACTTACTCTAGGATAAATTATTCAGGATCCCTTCTTTCACCTTATATTTGCAGGCTTTTAAATTCCAGCATAACTTTGTAGAGAAGCCTCTTCCTGAATTTTGGTCCCTTATTCCTCCTCTCATCTATATGCCGATAGAAAAAGATTGTTCATCTAAATGGGTACTCCATGTCTTGAGATTCATATAGGGGAAAGTTTATAAGCCTGTATTTTTAATATGTAGAATACTATATGTTTAGTACATACTTTGAGTATATAAATGCAGACAGGTACTCCTTTCCAAGAATATTTTAAAAGTTTTTTTTCTTTGGATCGTGGGTTTACATGTTTAGATTTTGTTTGGCATCCATTTTCTTCTTGTTTTTAAGATCTTCAACTTAATTTTGATTCACCAAATTGGAGGAGTGACCTGATTAGTGGAGGCAGCCATTCAATAGAGACAAGTGCAATATGCTGCTCTCAGCTGCCCAAATGGACTGTGGAGAACTGGCTGAGTAGCAAGAAGTGGAAGCTATTGTGGGCGACAAGCTTTAACCTGAGGTTGGCTCAGGTGAAGAAAAACACTGTGCTGGGATGTAGGCAGAGGGGAACTCTCCTGATTTCCCAGCAGATGATGGCTTAGCTGCAATATGGTCCAGCACTTCAAGAAAGACATGTTTGAGTTGGAGAGCGCCCAACTGGAGGGAGTCCAGAGGACCAGCGAGAATAAGGAGAGCTCTAGAAAACGTGGTCTGCAAGGAAATATTGAACAAATTGGGATTGTTTAGCCTAAAGCAGAGAAGGGGGAGGAGGTGTTAAACTCCCCAAGACTATAAGAGGCTGCTGCAAAGAGGAAGGAAATAATATGATCTCCATATGCCTGCTAGATAGAACTAGAAATAATAGCCTTATGTTGCAGCAGGGAAGATTTAAGTTGGGTATAAACCAATAGATTGCCTGGGGAGATATTTAATAGCAGATTACACAAACATCTGTCAGGACTGACAGTAAGTATAGTTGGCCCTGACTCGAGCAGAGTGTGGACTAAGCAATTTTTTTGAGATTTCTTCAAGCCTTGTGGTAACTGATTAGATTTTAAACTAATACCACTTCCAACTTCAGTTGCTGTTAAACACTTGTTTAATATTGATGTTAATGTTAATAATATTTAACGGTTTCGCCCTGACTGTGCCAGACTGTACAGATGATAGTTGCTGGTTCTTCCATCCAGAAAAGCTTGGTTCACAAGTTGTTTTGCTTTAGTATGGGTGGTTATTATTACTTAAGATCGCGTTAATCAAAAGCAATCAGTGCTACCCAACTGATAGCACGGAGTTAAAAAATACACAGGTGTTGAGTGATGGGTATTTGATATTACTCCCTCTCCTCGTGGCTTGCGCACATATACATGGTTGCTCATATATAACTGAAGTGGGGATATGATATGTAAAGGAGGCACCTCTGAACTAATGTAATTCAGGTTTAAAATGGCACAGAGTATCCAAGCACGCAGCACTGCACTGGTTTAACCGTACTGCTGCTGTAGTTCGGCAGCGAAAGGCTTTGGCTGCATGAGAATACCCTGGAGAGGATGAGCATATGTGGTCAGTGCCATCACCAAACAGAGCTGTTGGTGGTGATATCCGAAAGCAGACAGAGCCCTTGGTCACTCTGGCCACGATTTATAGATGAAAGCAGGTGATTTGCTTTATTTTTCTACCTTTTTCTCAATGGATGGCATTTTTCAAGCACTAAATGATGCAGCTTGCTCAGACAGTCTTTTTTTAATTCCCCAGTTCCCAAGGCAGAGAATGAAGTCCCGTCCCCAGCCTCTTCCCACCACAGCAGCAACCAGCCGGCCTCACTTACGGAGGAGAAGCGAACGCCGCAGGGCAGCCAGAACTCCCTCAACACTGTCAGCTCGGGCAGCGGCAGCACCAGTGGCATCGGCAGTGGTGGTGGCGGGGGCAGCGGTGTCGTCAGCGCCGTGGTCCAGCCCTACGATGTGGAAATCCGCCGCGGCGAAAACGAGGGGTTTGGCTTTGTCATCGTCTCGTCGGTGAGCAGGCCAGAGGCGGGGACGACGTTTGGTAAGTCTTGGGGTTTTTTCAACACACCTTGACTGAGATGCAGATTTCAGCACTGCAGCACAAGGGGGCGAGTGGGGATCTGTTTAATTGAAAGTCATGAGCATGCCCTAATTTATGTAATTAATAACATAATCGGAGGCCAAGACTTGGTAGCTGTTTGCCTCCTGGGTTTTGTTCAGCACTGAATCGCGAAAAGCAAAAGGAGAAATCCCAGCCTGAAGAGCAAAAATGCCACCAATGGCAATTCCAATGGCTCCCTGAAGCTCCGGCTCTCCCTGCTAGCTGGACGCCTTTCTGGGGTTTGCTCTCAGAAGAGCAGCCGGGGATCCCCCCAGTGATGCTGTTTGCTAATGCAGAAACGGAGCAGGTGGAATGAAATATGTCTTCCTGATGGTGGAATTGAGCCAGTTGATTTAAAAGCAGTAATGCTTAAACTGATTAACTTCTCTTTGGCAATCCGGGTTATTCTGATCCTCATTATGGAGTGAGCATGCTGATAGCTGGAAAGTTTTAATTAATAGTGCTTTCTGGTGAGACATAAAATGGAGAGTATTGTTAAAAAAACGGGATGTTTTTTTGACCCTTTCCACCTCTTCCCAAATCCATTTCTTCAGAGTAGGGGGAAATGAAGTTCATGCGATGTCACACTTAATATCCTGCCCCAATGGAAGTGGTCATGGTTTCTTTCTGAAGACAGTCCTTTCTGCTAGGCAGGCACTCATTTACAGGTGTTGCTGCAAAAGAGGTGTAATTCTGTCCCCAGAGCAAACGAGTCATATGTTGCAAAGCACAAATAAGCTGGTTTTGCAAGTGTGCACAGCACAGCCTGCTCTAGAGCAGTAATGTCATTGCAAGGGGGAAACCAGTCAGAGATGCTATTTTCTTCCCTTTCCATCTCCTCCAAAAGGGCCAGAGGCAGCATCCACTTATACTTTGTAAATGGTGTTCCCTCCCTGTTGGTCTGTGGCGTGTGATAGGAATGGAGGGGGAAAGGAAAGATGGAACGAGTGCCCTGGCCATCTTCACACTTCCTCTCAGAGCAGGGTTGTGGTTTGCAGACAAAATACATTGCAGTCTCCCTGTACAGCTTGAATGTTCCCGGGGCGCGCAGGTGCATGTGGCAAGAAGTGGCCTTTCCCCCTTTTTTTTTCCTAGGCTTTTTTCTCTGAAATTTCCTGCCATTGCCCATTGGCAGTGCCATTGCTAACAAATCAAGGGAGCATCATCTCCTTTGCTTGTATTGATGTAGCATGGGCCATGTCTAACACTGTTCTGGGCAGTCATGGCAGCAGACATTTCAAGGGGGAAATACCTAGTATAGACCCGGTGCATCGAGTTCTGTCAGTTCTCAGGTGCTAGGCTACCTCGTACTGTCCTTGCTGCTGAAAACTGCTTTTCCAGAATAGGTATTTTGGTGCCAGAACACAACGGTGTATTGTAATATAGATTAAACTGAACTCAGTCTAAACCAGACACAGAGCTTTTATCTTCTGCAAGTATTTGCAAACGTGTGTAAATAACTTATACTGTGTGAAGACTATGCTCTAACTCTTTTCTGCAGAGAAACCTTGACCTGAGGTTGTAAAGAGTTGTGTTTGCTTTAGCCCAAGATACTCACTAACTGGAAGTTTTCTGTGCAGGGGCTCCTCGTGGAGATCTGTTGAACTGTGACTGTTTTTCCTTTAATTTTTTTCAAGTGTATTCAGCTTTTTCCTAATACTCTGCATGAGATGTGTTCCCTCTGCTGCGTGGTGCTTGCTTTGGACCTGCTTTGTGGTTTTTTTCTTTCATGGGTAGCATTTAGAGATGGGCCAAACTGGTTCTAAAACCCACCTTGGTCACTTTGGTGTGGGCTCTGTCATCTGCGTGCAGTGGATTGGATAGAGTAGGAACTCACACCCTCAAATCAGCCTTTAAACTGGATGGGGCTTTGTATTACCAGAAAGAGAAACTTTCTAACATCACAGTAGAAGAAGGAAAAAAAAAAAATCTCCCTACCATTTGCAACTAATATTAACACTTTCTGCCAGTTTTCATTGCATCTTTCCAACCTTGTTCTCTCGCTCACATTCCTTTTCTTAGCTTTTTCTTCTTTATGGTCTTTCTAGTGTTGTCCTATGTGCAGCAATGTATATCTCAAACTGCTAATCAAATAAAGACTACAGCACAGATGGGAAAGTGCATCTTGAGGGTGAATGTATTGTGGATGCAAAGTATGAGATGACCAGTCTGTATACCTCATGGTTTTAATCACATTCTGCGTGCCCGAGGGCCTCTTGCCCGTGTAAAGAAGCCGTACAAAAGCCCAGTGGATTTATCTGAGTGAAGCTGTGTATCCCCTGTGTCCCAATTCTGCACTTTATGGACGACCCTGTGTTTTTGGGACAAACAATTGCATGGAGCAGGAGGAGAATTTTGTCTCCAAAACGCATTCATCCTAAAGTGTTCTTGCTCTGTGTGTCAGACATCTCAATGGTTTTGTGTGTGGTTTTAGAGATATTTAAATGAGGAGGTCCTTATTCCTTCCCTGCTCCCGTCCTGATGCCATCTAAGATCATAAAAGGGGAAGGGTTACAGAGGCTGAGGTGGATGCCTGCACCAAACAGTTACCTTTGTCAGTCTTGGCCCATCTGTAGTGGTCCTGTACCTTCCCTGGTAATACCTTTATTCACGATGGAAGAAAACTGTTTCATGTTGCTTCCCCATGCAGCGCTGATAGATTGGGTCTTCGTGGTAGAAAGGGAGTCGCTCTCCCTCCTAGGCCTAGAACAATTTTATCTTTCTAAATTGAGAAAGAACAAAACATTGGCAGAAGCTTGAACAGCAGTTGACTTAGAGAAAGACTTGAGAGGCTGACACTGATGTAATCTTGGAGGAGGAAGGTTGTGTTTTCTACAAACAGTTTCAACTTTTCTGTTCAAAAATAAACTGAGGATTTGGGTTATGATGGGGCTGCTAAGTGCAGTTGTAGTCTATAAAAATCTCACCATTTATTAACAGAAATCAAGGTGGGGGGAGTTTTGAGTGATTAACAAAACACCTTTTTGTAAAAGAAGTAAAGTATTGTGCACTCGTACTAGTTGATTGCCAATGTTTTGAACACTGGCAGCAAAGCTATCCTATAATAACTTTTGCTTGATGCATTAATTAATTAACCCTTAACCTTCT